GGCTGTGCAAGGCCTGGATGTCTAAGAGCTAATATTTCCTCCTTTCCAAAACCAGCGTCTACATCATCCTGTTTAGCCAAGGACAGTTACCAAATTTGCTGTGCTGTACTCTCCCTCACCCCTGCTCCCCAGTCACTCCCCTCGGAGAACTACAATCAATAACTGGAAGAAGGTAAGTGAAAGCAGACGCTACATGAGAAATCCTCCCCACCTCTTATGTGCTCCTCCACCAGTGTCCTCACCTTAATAAACAGCATCCCTGTCTATACAACTGCACGAGGTGGAAATCTTGAAGTCTGCCTTGATTTCTCCTTTACCCTCCACACCAACAATCTATGATTGCATCTCATCATTCAATTCCATCTCTTCTCTACACACACACACAAAAAACATTCATTTGAGACACCATCACCTCTTGCCTGCACTACTGCAAAAGCCTTCCAACTGGTCTCTTTGTCCATGGTGCTCTAGCCCTCCAATCCATTCCCCAAACAGCTAGAGATATCCTTCTAAAGTACACGCAGGATCATGGCCCCCTCACCAAAATGAAGTCCAAACTCTTCAGCCTGGGCAATAAAGCCCTTTTATGACTTGGCCTCTGCTCTGCCAGTCTCATCTCTTGCACATCCACCCATCTCATGTTTATGCTCTACCCAGGAATCTTGAGAAACTTATTTAACCCCTCTGGATTTGTTTTCTCACCTACAGAATGAGAATAGTAATAGTATATACCTCTCAGGGTGGTTATGTAAAGAAATAAGTTAACACATGTTAAATGCTTAGAATGGCACCTGGTAGATACAGTAAATGGCCAAAAGTCTCACCTATTACCACCACCATCTCTAGACATGCTACTCCTCCTGCCTAGAACAGTCTTTCCTGTCTTGTCCTCAACTCTCCCAATATCTTCTTTTCCTAGTTTACGTCTTTCCCTTGAGGTCAAGACTTAGCCACTTTCTCCAAGGAAGCCTTCCCTGACCTTCCAAGGATAGGTTAATTACCATTCCTCTGTACTCTCAAGATGCTTGTCCCTGTCACAATTCTAACAATATTTCCTTGCCTGTCTTCCCTGCCAAGACACCCAAATTCCCAAGCTTAGTATTATGCAAGGCAGATGCTAATAATCGTTCCATAAATAGAAAACTTTCCAATAATGAGGTGCCCAGTGAAACAGAATCTCAACAGGTAGCCAATTCAAATGTTGGCCAGGTGGCTGGCTGGTTTTCATGACTTTAAGTCCCTCAACTACAGGATTGTATCCAATAAACAATTCAATACACTCTGACCTTATTATCACACTCAGGGGTTTAGACTTTAATATGTAGATGATGTTTTTGGCCCATTACATTTTTAAGGAAAGTGCAACATGCTCAGATCTGTGTTTGTTGACCTATTATCCATCTCTGCAACCCTACCATCTCAACCCCCTGTCAGCATCAGGACAAAATTCCAACTACAAAAACATAAATACATACCAGGAGAGTAGGTATAGCTTAAGTGGTAGAATGTGTGCTTAGCAAGCACAAGGTCCTGGGTTCAATCCCCAGAACCTCCTCTAAAATTAAATAAATAAATAAATAAACCTAATGACTTCCCCCCACCAAAAAAACACTTAAAAAAAAAAGTAAAGAAAAAAACCACATAAATACCATATCCCACCACTGCATCCCCCCAAATACACAAAGACACAGACAAACTAAAGGGAATTCTGAAAGACTATAAATGTAGCATTTAATTCCATCTTAACCACCTGCAAGCAATAAGGATCCATAAACACCCTCTAGGAAACCCAAAGCTAATCCCTCTTGTGTGCCTTTTGGAAAGAGGAGGGCAAAGAGAGGGAGCATTTCATAAAGGTAATCCATTTAATCATCCTGAGTAGTTCTGATCCGAGCTGCCGTCATAGCACAGCTATTCCTGATCACTGCAGCCCCATATGCCCAAACCTGGGATAGTGAGAAAGGAAGATGCAAACAAAGCGAGGGTGGGAAGTCCTCTGGGTTCTATTTCAAGAGCAGGAGATCTCTTTAGATGATACAGAAGAAGCTAGCAGAGATCTCCAAAAAAGACTTCAGTGATAAGGAACTTTAATATACAGAGCAGGGAAAAGAGGGGGAGGAAGCTTAATCAGAGGGGTACAATCAGGCCTAGGTTCTTGCTCTGGAGCTGCATGCCACACCATACTGCAGATGAGGACTAATAATCATTTTGGATTTACAGAGCACCATGGGGTTACATGAGGCACTTGAGAGTGCCAGCTTTGCCAGTCACAAAAGGACAAACATTGTATGATTCCATTTATATGAGGTACCTAGAGTAGTCAAATTCATAAAGACAGAAAACAGAATGGTGGTTGGGGGTAGATAGGAAGTTAGAGTTTATACAGAATTTCAGCTAGGGAAGATGAAAAATTTCTAGACATGGATGGTGGTGGTGATGGCTGCACAACAATGTGAATATACTTAATGCCACATAACTATACATTTTTAAATGGTTAAAATGGTAGATTTTATCTTATGTATATTTTTTACAAAAGAATAAATAAAAGCACACTGGCTTTCTCTTGTCTGCAATTATCAATTACATGACCCTAAGCAAGTCATCTAACTTCTCTAATTCTGTTTCTTCTTCTGTAAAACAGGGATAATAACAGTGCCTAACTCATACAGTTGCTCTAAGGATCAAATAAGATACTCCACAGAAAGTCCTTAGTCCAGTGACTCGTACATGGAAAGTACTTAATGAATGTTAGCTATTATTTCTACTACTACAACTACTACAATGCACTTTCACAGCCATTTCTCATAGTCCCCCACAACCCTGTGAGAGTTTACAGGTAAGGAAACTGAGGCTCAGAGCCACGAGTAGCTGAGTTCATGATGTCACATCAAATCAAATTCTTTGCCCATGAGAGATGTCCTGTCCTCACCAATTGTTAATTTGGTGATCTAAGTAAGGCAAGTGCCATAACCTCGCTATGCCGCAATTCTCAATTAGAACTGTAAAAAGGAGATATAAACCAACTCTGCGAACTCTCTCATAGAACTGGATGAGACATGAGATCAGATAATGGTTACAGAAGAGCACTATAAACCATAAATAAAGTAACTATACAATAAAAGTGATGACTTACGAGAACTGGTACACATGTGCACAAAACCTGGCCTCCTTTTAATGCTAAACTTCCTTTCAATGCTGGGACTAAACAACTTCCTTGTGATTTCAAATTACTCAGGATTCCTGGTCTTAAGGCCTGAATAAATAGTTTAGTGGCCCTTTCAAAAGGTGGTAAAGTATGGTAGAAATAAAAATATTACTGGACAGGTAGGCAGAAGACTGGAATTCTAGTTCTGATTCTGTCACTAAAGCAGTCTGTGAATTTAGACAACTTACTTCCCAAGGTTCAGTTAACAGGAAAGGGAACAGGCAAAAAAGTTGAACCAGGTTAAGACCCCTTCCAGCTCCTATATACAACGCTTAAGTCCAGAATCTTCAGACTCCAAAGAACCAATGCAAACCTCAGGAGACTCCTCAAGACCTGGCCTAGGAACTCCCCTGCCTGATCTTTAGACGTTGGAAAATCAGAACACTTGCCAAAGTTAATTTTAGTTCACTTTTACCCCTTTGGGCCTTATGTGAAAATAGAGGAAATAAATCCCTATTTGAAGGCACAGCGAGCAGAAGCAGTTCATTTGAGCCACTTTCTGCTCCCCTTCCCCGAGTCAGGATTTATAAACACCACAGAGAACAAGCAACGTTTGGGGAGGTACATACCACAAATATAAAAAACGGACCTTATTGTCCTTAAGGACTTAACGCCTTCCTTGAATCAAACCCCCAGGTAACTTCAGTTGTGTTTGAGATCTGGAGTCTCTGCACCCAACAACTTCTAACTGGCAATATTAGCAAGAAATTCATAGTAACTTCCTTTCCCTCCCATAGATCCAGAATGGGACTTCAACCACAGTGGACACTGGCCCAAGGGTCAGGGAGAACGGAGTTACACCTCTTAACTAATGGTGTAACCGAAGGTTAAGTCAAAAATCCCTTCTGCACAGGCTCACACTAAGAAATAAGTAACAGGTACTAACACCACGGCTTTACCCTTCTAAGGCTACTGTGATTTGGAGCACATTATTTAACCTCTCTGCCCCTTAATTTCTGCTTTTGTAAACGGGGATAACCCCAGAGGCCGTCGTAAGCATTAAATAAGACTTACGAAGTTCCTGAGTCAAGTCCATTAAACGTTACCTGTTGGTAATAAATACTTCTCTCACATATTCCCTCCCTGAATCCAAACACCCTTCGAGGCGACTTTCTTTCTCCCTTTTCACTGAGAGGCAAACTGAGGCTCCGCAGCCAAAGAGGCTGCGTGAAGTGCGGAACACAGACTCAGCTCCAGGGCCTGCTGTTGTTCCTCTCTAAGCCCAAGGTGTGCATCGAGCCCAGGACGGGGAGAAGTGGGGGCCAGGGAGGCGCTCAGCCCCGCGAGGAGCGAAGCGCGACCAGTTTTGCGCGCCTCCGGGAGCCCGCAGCCCCAGCACGAGAAGAAGAGCCGGAAGAAGCCCGCGGCCGAGGGCAGAGCCCGGGCCGGGCCCGCCCGAGGCCTCTCCAGCGCGGCCTCCGCTCCCTCCTCCTCCCTTCGCCGGGCGGGGCGGGGCGCGAGCACAAAAGACTCCCAACTTCCGAGCGGGCGCGGGGCCCACCCCGCCAACTCCTGGCCAGGCTCGGCCCGCGGGGAGGAAGCGGGCAGGGAACGCCGGGGGCGTCCAGGAGCGGGCGCGGGCGGGCCAGGGCGGCGACCCAGGGCGGCGGGACCCAAGGGGAGGGAGGTGCGGGGGGAGGGGGCCGGGAGTTACTCGGGCTCCCGGGACTCCCAGAATGGCCGAAAGAAGAGTTTCTAAAAATAGGCAGCGGCCCGCACCGAGAGGTGGGAGATCAAAAAGGAACAAGAAATACCCACCCGCACCTTTAAGGAGACGCCCGCGGCCCCCACTCACCCGCGCTGAGAGGTCTGGAGGAAGCCGCGCGGCGCGGAAGGAGGCGGTGCCGCTGCACACGGGGGCGGAAGGGAGGGAGAGAGGGAGGGACGGAGGAAGAAGGCGGCCCTGGCCGCGGCGTGAGGAGCTGAGCACACGCGCGGTTGTCCCCACCGCCGCCACCGCCCCCTCAGCTTCTCTCAGATCAGAC